TTTAATTCAGTTGAATGTAATATTAAAGAAGATTAGAGAAAACAAACAGAAGAAACTTTGAAGTGGATAGCGTCGTATTTGCCTCAATGGAATAACTCGACTGCATTTGAAAATCTATATTATATAAATAACACATAGCTGAGAGGGAGGTAGAGCAGATTGTTACCCCGAGAAAACATTGTCAACTGAGGCGAAGCCAAGTTTATTATATAAATCAAGTGTCAACTGAGGCGAAGCCAAGTATATTATATAAATAACACATAGCTGAGAGGGTGATAGAGCAGATTGTTACCCCGAGAAAACATTGTCAACTGAGGCGAAGCCAAGTTTGACAATGTCTTTTCGAGGGGTAACAATCTGCTCTATCACCCTCTCAGCTATGTGTTATTTAATTTATTATACTGAATGTTCTGTTATTACTGTCGATTAAATTTTAAATTCAAAGCAATAAACTATGACGTCTTGTACATAACAACCATCCGTATTTAATAAAGCGCACACTTGATCAAGTGTTTCCATGAAGGGTAATAGAGTATCTACCATAGGATATATTCGTATTTAATAAAGCGCAAACTTGATCAAGCGTCTTCATAAAGGGTAATAGAGTAAATTAACACCCTCGTATTAGCCAATCAAAACATGGCATTTTAACGTGAAGTATGATATAAACGATTATCAACTAATGTTTAAAATGGCTGTGGAAAAGACTTTTGCCTACTGTCTTTTTGAACTACCTGCATATGCAGCTTTTTCAAGTATCGTTGTCATACAAACATATTGTTGCGGTTGCTTGTTTAATTATAACACCAAAATAATCATTAAACAGAAGAAGCAAGCACCTGCCTCATTAATGGCCTGGAAGGCCTAAGATTACTGCAATTGTTTAGATCATTACTATGTCCTCTTCTTGTTGATCATAAGAAAAGTGTTCGAGTCCAGAAGTATTAATTCTAGTTAAATCTAACTTAAATATTGAAATAATGCCAGTGTCTATACGTGATCACCCGTTGTAGACTATTGTTCTGCAAGAATAGTACGTAGGTACGATTTCTATACTTTCCCCCTACAGTTTGAATGCTAGGAAGTTTTCACTTTCCGGCTGTTTGTACATATATTGAAGGTGTGCATGTGGTCAGGGTTTTGATTTTTATTAATATTTGCTCTTTTGGGAGATAGTTGAACTTTGTCATTTTGGAGTATATACTTGCATAAGAGGTGCATAGCGTTTCCGGATAACTTTGCCTACAGTTTGAATGCTAGGAAGTTTTCACTTTGCTGACTGTTTGTAAAAACACATATATTGAAGGTGTGCATGTGATCAGGGATTTGATTTTTATTAATATTTGGTCTTTTGGCGATAGTTGAACTTTGTCACTTTTTGGAGTATATACTTGCATAAGAGGTGCATAGCGTTTCTGAATAACTCCTCCTACAGTGAACCATAGACATGCTCAACTTTGTGTATTTTAAAATAACACTTTGCATCTGCGGGAGCATCATTTGTGTCTCCCAGACACAATAATATCTAAAAGAAAGTCCTGCATACAGTTACTTCAGAGTAGAGTGCGGGGGCATCACTTTGTTTAGTTTGATATTTGGCTTTAGTATATAAAGGTAGCATGCACTTGGTATTATACGGCGCTTAGTTTTACTGAAGGTACGTCAAAACAAAACATTTTGTAACCTTCTATAATGGATATTTGTTGATTTTGATATCTTATGGTGGCCATCTTGGAACAAGCCGCCATATTGAAATTTCAATTTGGGTCCATATGACAAATTTGAACTAACATAAGGGATATTGTTGATTTTGATATTTTATGGCGGCCATCTTGATAATAGCCGACATATTGGAATTTAAAGGTGGGTCCATAAAGAATATTGTTTGAAACACACATAACTACTACCGTGCCAAATTTGATGCTTTTATCATCAAACCCACAATTTTGTCACTAATCTGCATCCATGGTGTCCATTTCAGTATCGATTTCGGTTTCGGTTTATGGTAAATATATCTGTTAAAAAATGTTCATTGGCAATCATACCTCATCTCCTTATTTTTATAAAAACTGTAGAAAAAGTGTTTTTTCTGTCTCACCTTGTGTACTAAACACCTGTGTACAGTCACTGACATTTACGGCACAAAGCTTGGCCTTTTTAACTTTTTTTATTCGAGCGTTACTGATGAGTCTTTTGTAGACGAAAACGCGCATCTGGTGTACAAATCTTTAATCCTTGTATTTATGATTAACTTATTTGCAATCGATAATAAGCCTAAATACTCTTCTAGGTTAACATATAAATTATGCATGTTTAATTAGGTCTTTCCACTTTTCTGTGGAAAGACCTATTGTATTTGTTCTGATTATTATTATTATTATTATTATTTTTATTATTTTTTTCTTCCGCCTCATTTTGTTCTCGCGTAAAATGTTTGTTTCGCAAGATGTCGCTTAGATATTTCTTATATAGTATCATACAGTTTATGCGCTTTTTATTTTCACCCATTCTAAGCCGAACAATTTTCTTTGTAGGAGTTATCTCCCTGAACACTGTTTTCCTTGTGACTGCATCTCCTCCGTTACCGTAAAAGAAAGCGACAAATTTATTTTACCAAATTGCTCGCTATATCCTCAGGATTTTTTGTCCAATTTTGATGGAAGCGATACGAAGACTCCATATGAGGGTTATTTCCCCTAATGCATTTGAAATAAGTGATATGCATTTGTAACTGGTAAACCATAAGTGATAGAGACCTAGAGTCTGTTGATTTGAGGTCCTTGGTCCTAAAGAATAGAAAACTAGGTCAAGGTCAAAGGTCAAGGTCATGTTTTGATTTTTTACATTAGGTTCATATCGCTTCTTCCTAGAAAGAGTTGTAGATATCGACAATAATGAACCACAGTCTACCACTACACTCCCCCCCTTTTTTTTCAACTGATTTTTTTTTAAAGTTATCCCATTCCAAAGAAAAGAAGATCGCTTTTAGTCCCGTACATTATACTGTAAAATGCTAATCCTTCTTTTTTTTTGGGAATACATTTCTTTCTGAAATACAAATCTATTCCTGCAAAATAAAATCTGCTCCAAATCACGTACATGTATTTCTGAAAATTAATCGATAAACGTTTTGTTAGAGTATACTATAACAGCAGCATTATTTTTGTGTGCATTCAATGAATGAGTCGACCAGTGGTCAGCGCTCGGACAATAGTTTACCTGTCAAATAAATCGAGAAAATATATTTTCCGTTAGCAGTATAAATCACGTGCAGTCCGCTTGACGTTCCAATCTGGATTGAGAAATTAAAATCAATGGCGTAGAAATCCCTCAAAAGTTCGTAAATAGTAATAAAATCCTAGAATCAAATTTCTAAGCATGCATTAAAAAACAAATCTGTGTTCCCGTAAATATATGTACGAAAAAAGCATGCATGATCCGACATCAATGACCTGTAAATGAAAGAAAATTTAAATCCGTTAGCTGACAATCTTTATACACAGGTCTTGTCTTGACGACAATCCCTCTGCAACTAAATTTTAAAAACAGTCTTTCTGTGTATATCAATCAGCTTGGTGACGTCACAATCACACCAACCATCCGGTGCGGCGCGTGCTACCTAAAATAAAATAGGGGTTTTCCCCTTTTCGAAAAGAATTAAAATGTGCACGCACAGGGTTGAATACAAAAGATCCATGCAGGTAAGGTCCGATGTCCTTTAATCATAAAATTGAAAACAATGCACACACAATAAGTAAATAACACACAAGTACTGGGAAGCCTTATAAAAAAAGAGAACATTTATAAAGGAAAATGCAAGGATACTTTTTGTAAGTGTGTTTAAATCCTTGCATGTTCCTACATATGTCATAATTTGAATATAAATAAACATGTTGCAAGGACCCGTTTTCGCGGTTCCTAGAGCCTAGGTCACAAGTGTTTAAACACGGCCACTAGGCTCTCAATTCCTTTTTCGCGTATTCCTAGAGGCTAGGTCTCACGTGTTTAAACACGGCCACTAGGCTCTCAAGTCCTTTTTCGCGTATTCCTAGAGGCTAGATCTCACGTGTTTAAACACGGCCACTAGGCTCTCAATTCCTTTTTCGCGTATTCCTAGAGGCTAGGTCTCACTTGTTTAAACACGGCCACTAGGCTCTCAATTCCTTTTTCGCGTATTCCTTAAGCCTAGGTCCAAAGTGTTTAAACACGGGCACTAGACTCTCAATTTCCTTTTCGCGTTTTCCGAGTGGTTCGGCCCCATGTGTTTAACCAACCAACCAACCAACCAACCAACCAACCAACCTACCTACCTACCAACCAACCAACCATTACATGTATGTTTCGGTCCTTTGTGTTTAATACGGGTCCAAGATCTCATTTGTTTCGTGTTTGCTTGTTTCAAGCGACCCTATCTCACGTGTGTAATAAGTCAATCAATCAATCAATCAATCAATCAATCAATCAATCGACCGACCGACCGACCGACCGACCGACCGACCGACCGACCAACCAACCAACCAACCAACCAACCAAGCAAAAAACCAATTAATCATGTTTCGGAGGGGAAAGACCGTTTAACAATTGTTTTTAAAACAATTGATTTATATTTATTATAACACATCTTTCTAAAATTGTCCGTTTGAAATTTTGAAATTATAAAGAAACTGAGGTTTCAACTCCCTCAGGCAAAGTTGGCCTTTGATAGATTTGACTATTTATTTTAGGTCCCTTTTTGGTTATATAGCTCTTTAACTGTTAAGGTTATTAAACATCCTTAGCTTCCTAACGAAGGTAAATCCAGAAAAGCGCTTCGAACGCATGACATTTATAACGTTGTTTTTTAATTTTTTTATAGCACTGTGTCGATACCTCTCCTAGTGGACTATCAGTCCCCGAGGGTATCATCAGCCCAGTAGTCAGAAGTCAGTACTTCGATACTGACTGATTTATAACATTTATTACAAGTTGTTTTCATTTTGCATGCAATTGCTTTTTTTAAGTTTTATCGGTCTGGACTGCAAAATTACGGCACAGAAGAAGACGCTAACGATGACATCCGTCTGAGCTACACGTACGTAAATTATTTAACTGCACAGCCAGATATATATTTCTAAACAAATTAAAAAAAAATACAGACACAAGAAAGCATAGAATTGAAAAAAGAAGCAAAAGATACAACGGTACAAATAAATAATAAGTCGATGAAAACCCGACACTATCACAAGCAAAAGCACGAACGAAGAAAAAATAAAACATAAGCTGAGTAACAAAAGATAAAAAAAAAGATTGAATCATTCTTGACAACTTGCGACCTTTATCTAATTTAAATCAAAATTACTAGCTTTTCGCAATAAAGTAATAATATACTTATCACGTTAAAAACAGAACAGAAATATAAGCTATAATTTGCGTCAAATATTATAAATAATTCTATATACTAATTTGAAAGATTGCCCAGCAGCGTATCCTATTTGATTTCGATACATTTTTGACAATATCGAATGAAGTTTGCCAAAATTTTACTTTTTTTTTTAAATTTTAGCGAAGTCTGTAGGAATGGTATAGAATATAGCACACTTATATTTCGAGTTTTTTTGCCAATAGCATTAGCGGTACCAATTTTTACACCACCAAAATTTCGAGAATTACTTTAGTTCCCCTTCCTTTGATGAAAAACATTAATAAAGCTATGCTTAGGAGAAAATTGATAGAAATAATAGTCATTTAAATGATTCTCATAAATACCTTTTATGAAATAGAATGAGAAATATTACTTCAGGTTAATACGAAGTTATTTCTGATGCCCTTACATAATAGTCAATACATTGATGCAAAACAACAATTGTCATTAGTCTTTATTTCTACAGCACTAAATAGGCTTGAATTTAAATATAACGATGCCAGTTTCGTTGCTTGTCTAGTAAATGTCTTGCAAATAGCAAAATTTCAAAATACAACAAAGTTTAAATCATCTAGAGCTATTATCATAACTCATTCATTTAACCTCAATTCTTTACAAATTGCATAGGTCTTATGTGCTCATGCGCATACAATAATGAGTAAAATATGCTATTCCGAACAATTTTATGACTATACCAGAATTTGTTTTTATGTATCTTGCCACTAGTCAGCTCTTACTGGAACTCTGCCCAAACTCTACAACGAAACCTATTACACCTCGAATACAAGACTAGTCATCCAAAGACAGCTCGGACCGGCTATAAAAATGACAAATTGGACTGTTTGTAGAGACAATTCAGACAATTTTTAAATACATGTTAGAAAAACAACTGGGATCGTCCTACAGGAAATGGCTGATGTCTTATTTGATCGATATGAAGAAACCACCAATCGAGACAATTCACACCGTTCGGCGTTCAAAACGGGATTAAACATTTTTGTGAGCACATAACATTCGCTGTAACACCAGGGGATAGTGGTAACAGATTGACACAAAGTACCAAAGCAACTATATCAAAAAGACAAAAGAAACAAAACGGTCGACATATGAGACTTGCAGTTACAAAATACTATATAAGAAATCTCACAACAGCTAAATCATGTTTCACTAGACTTAAAATATAGATTAGTACACATCAGATGGAATGAGTGTATCCACGTCATATACAGCATGAGTAAAACATGACCTTGTGCAATGCCAAAATATAAGTATCGAAATAATATACCCTACTATGTATAAAATACATTAATAGAGGTATTGATTTATTAATTTGTCTAGTATTTTTCATGACTCTACCGTTCAAAACTTTATATCTTCATATTTGGATAACATTGAGCCACCTATAATTTCTTATTCGTATAAAAAAACCAGTAGAAGTTTGATTTTTAATTATACGTCAGTTACATCTGACGTCAGTATAGAAAATAATGCTCCTTCAACATAAAACAGTGAAACATCGAAGTTTAGATATAATCCACATGGCCATGTAATTATATGGGACCTCAACATCGTTCAAGACCGAGAGGTTATAAACTTTCTGAAAACAAGGACTAAAATATCGTCCACCGTCGAAAATAAATTGGGAAGAGTGTCGTCAGGTTATTAAAGATGATCTTTCATCCTATTGTAAAAAATTGTGTAAACGGGAGAAATCTGATAAAAAGTCATTTGATTCCTATTTAAATAAATGTCTGAATATTGTTGCTAAGCGCATTATTAAAATAATTTAGAAATATATAAAAGAGTAAGTAATACGCCCATTTCTAGGATTAAAAACAAAATTCAAGTACTCGCAAAGCGTTTTGTGTTGCTACCGGCAGACAAAGCAGCCAACAATGCGGTGGTTGTATGACGTAAATACTACACGGAAGTCCTTAAGAATGAAATTATACATTCAACTACATTCGAGGCCGTACGCTCCATAGAAAGTCATAGAGTAAATAATCGTGTCACTACCACAGTTCAGCTTAAGGTCTCCTCTGAACATTTGAAGGTCCCCACTATGTATTGGTTACCTAAACTACACAACAAACAAGTAAAATATCGTTTCATTTCGGCCTCTAGTAAATGTTCTACTTCTAATCTTTCGGTGCTTTTAACGAGTTCCTTAACTACTATAAAAAACTGATCATTAATTTTTGGCATAAAACATATGAAAATAGTTGAATTAACCATTTTTGGAGGGTAAAACATTCTTTGGATGTTTTAGATAACTTACTTGCTTTCGATGGTACTTTTGATTCGGTTGACAGTTTTGACTTCTCCACTCTTTATACTACACTTCCACACAATCTTATCAAACAAAAGTTTTCCTATCTAATTAAATGGTCGTTTGATAAATTTGCAAAAAATTGAAAACAACACGTTTAATAATTTCATGCAAATTATTTGCTGCAACTCATATAGAGCCTTTTTCTCCAACGAGAAAGGTAAATATTCTAGATATACCTATTTGAGGTGTGATGAGATGATTAAAGCCATACATTTTATCCTTGACAACATTAATGTACGTTTTGGCATTAAAGTTTATCGACAGGTTGTAGGTATTCCTATGGACACTAATTGTGCCCCTTAAATAGCAGACTTGATCCTATACTGTTATGAATCACAGTGTATGGCCAAACTCAGTAAAGAACCGTCCAAATTCCATTTAATAGATAAATTCAACAACACGTATCGTTATCTTGATGATACTTTTTCGTTAAATAAACAAAAATTCTCTAAATAAACTGCTGAAATTTACCCAAAGGAACTTACTTTAAATAAATCAAATATTAACAGCAATAACTGTCCTTTTACTTAATTTAGATATTTCAGTATTACACCAGAAATTCTGCACAAACATTTACGACAAAACGGATAATTTCTCTTTTCCTATTGGCAATTTTCCTTTTTTGAACAGTGATGTTCCTTTTGCACCGTCTTACGGTGTTTATATATCCCAACTCGTTCGCTATTCTCGTGTCTATAGTGACGTATTCAATCTCAATGAGCGTAATTTATGTATTACTGGTAGAGTCAGGGATTTCGTTACCACAAATTACTTGAAACCTTTACTAAATTTTCAATAAATACAAAGATCTTGTTTTCAAGTTTGACTATACCTGTAGAAAACTTATTTCAAACGGAATATCACATCCAAAATTTGACAAAATTGATGTTGTTGACCAAGCCCGGAAATTTAGATACGATCCGGGTAAACTTATCAATCCTTTAAATAAACTTATTATAAAAGGTTACCTATTCAACACTGTAATTAAATGTTTGAATATTGTTTTATTGGTATAAATATTGATTTTGTTATCAGTAAATTAAAACCATACTAAATATTACACATATGTACTTTCACGGTATTACAATCTGTCGATAACTATATATTGGCATTGCGCATGGTCATGTTTTTCTCTGACTGTTAATGAAGTCTTTACACTAAATCCATTGGATGTTGGATGTGTACTGATTGATATTTTAGTCTTAGATACATGATTTTTTTAATTAGTTATTATTGGCTTTGAACTAGTTGTCAGTAACTGCGAGTACTTTCAGATCTGTACTTAGTGTTTTTGTTGTTGTTAGGGATGAGGGATAGATATATACCCTGCCACGTCCTGTCTGTGTTTTTGTCTGATGTTTTTCTTTGTATCGATCTGATGAGTTAAGCCTTTTTCAACTGCTTTTTATAATTTGTTCTTATGTTGTGCTGTTACAGCACTGTCGAAGGTTAGGGGAGTGTTGAGCGTTCACAAATTTGTAAATTGGCACATTCTGTATGTGCCTATCCGAAGTCAGGAGCCTGTAGTTCAGTGGTTGTCGTTGGTTCATGTCTGTCATATTTGTTTTTTGTAAATCGTTTTGTTATAAATTAGGCCGTTAGTTTTCTCAGTTGAATTGTTTCATATTTTTCAAGTCTGGGCCTTTTATAGCCGATTATACGGCATGGGTTTTTCTCATTGTTGAAGGACGTATGGTTGCCTATAATTGCTTACATCAGAGACATATACTATACACTCCACTTCATTTAACTTTGGTGGATAGTTGTCTCATTGGCAATCATACCTCATCTCCTAATTTTATATTCATAACTGTATGGAATACATGTTAAGTTATGTAATTCATTGAAAACAAAATCAATGTTAGTAAGTGTTACTGTTGCTTCTTATATAATATAGAATCGGATCATTTTTTTATCTGAAGCTACTAGATATTTCTTACCAAAGATAAATTCCATTACACCATAATGTTACCAAATTTACCTTTTCTCACATCTTTTAATACAGCACGAGTGTCCTGACATTATTCAGAATATAATAGTTTTTTTTTTCTCTAACATGAAGAGAAAATGCCAACTATCGGTGTCAATCCTTTGACATATAACAACAATCATTATACTGATTAAAAAAGCTATGGTGTGTAGGTACGGTTTATAGCTTAATATGAAATGTAAACAGTATAGGGCTACTTTTCCTGTCTAATAATAGTACCCATTTCACCGATTCAAGAACAACTATTACTTAACAGTTTTGTAATAAGATACGGGTGACTAATTACCAATTACCACTTAAGGTTTCAAATGCTTAATAAAAATACTTATACAGTGGAACCTCGTGTCG